GGGAATTAAATTCTCTGTAACACTGTTATGAATATGAGAATATATATCGTTGGGAGTTGAATTTTCCAACTGGCATAAATTATCAGACAGCTTACTGGGACGAATATTAATGTAATAATGTTGTCGACATTGTGGACATGGAACAATAATGGGCAACAGGCTAGGATAGCTATTTATAACATATGCTATGTTGGAATCTTTTCTAAACCGATCATCTTTCTGGCTATATTTGGCCAGTGTGTGGAATATTCGCCAATAAAATGGGCCCCAAAATTTTGTACCCATACGCTGAGGCAAAGGATATGTTTTTGTGGTAGCTGTCGTATAATGCAATGAACCGGGTGGAAATTTAGATGTGGCTGTTGAAATGAAAGATAATTCGCCTTCAACAAGAGGTACTGCCCCATCAGCTTCTAGTTTATTCAGGAGATCTACCAAATTTGAAACTCCATTAATGCGAAAGTTTGTCTGAAAAAGTTGTTGTAAATTTTTTAAGCGACTGATATCATTTGTTATATAGGTTTCTAAAGCAAAGAATGAAGGCTTAATTTTATATTTATTATTATTCTTAATGTTACTGGTAATAATAGACTGGGCCTCGAATAAGAAAATATTATGAAGTTCCTTGGGACTTTTTAGTTGGATACAATTATTATCTCTGTCATCATCACCATCTTCATCATCTACATAAACCACCATATTGACGACTGTTTGAAGTGTATATAAAAAGGATGAAATTAAGATATTATTGGCGGACTGAATAGTTGATGAGTTGGTTTGAAAAGAAGGGATTAGAGCTTGAATGTAATAATCTAAGATTATTGAAAACGTATATAATATAAATGTTGGTAAACATAAAATGGCTGGAAATTTTACGTTCCTTTTATTATCAAAAAACAGTTTATAATTGAAAAGACACTGCTGTTGCTGCTGCTCTTCCATTTTTTGTATTTCTCTAAAAACAATATTAATGTTTAATGATAATTTGTACATGACCCTGGTAACGGGAATATCTTGAGGTTATATTGAGATGATTTCGGGCTATTTAGTGTTCCCGTGGCCCGATCCTAGCTAGACCAAGCCGCCAGTGACAGCTGACTAACTCCTAGGTACCTAATTACTACTAGGAATCAGGGGCATCAGGGTGAAAGAAACTCTGCCTAATGTTTCTCGCGGGCGCCCGGGATTTCGATCCAGTGTGCTGTCAACTCAGCTGCGCGGAACAATTTTATTTCTTTAATTTAGATATGAGGTGGAGTATTTTGAAAAAAGTTTTTTTTTTTTTTTGAATTATCCTAAATAAAAAACAATAAGCAATGACTGTATTTTTAATAATAATATTATTCTTTATAACAGTTATAATAATTATTTATTTATGTAAAAGAGGAGAAAGAGGAGGAGACGAAGGAATAGATGCAGCAGGTGGAAGTGTAAGTGGCAGTGAAGGAGGAGGAGGAGGTGAAGGAACAGATGCAGGTGGTAGAGGAAGTGAAGGAGGAGGAGGTGAAGGAACAGATGCAGATGGAAGAGGAAGTGAAGGAGGAGGAGGAGGTGGCGGCAAAGGAACAGATGCAGATGGAAGAGGAAGTGAAGGAGGAGGAGGAGGAACAGATGCAGGTGGTGGAGGAAGTGAAGGAGGAGGAGGTGAAGGAACAGATGCAGGTGATAGAGGAAGTGAAGGAGGAGGTGGAGGCAAAGGAACAGATGCAGGTGGTAGAGGAAGTGAAGGAAGAGGAGGCGGCAAAGGAACAGATGCAGGTGGTAGAGGAAGTGAAGGAGGAGGAGGAGGTGGCGGCAAAGGAACAGATGCAGGTGGTAGAGGAAGTGAAGGAGGTGGCGGCAAAGGAACAGATGCAGATGGAAGAGGAAGTGAAGGAGGAGGAGGCGGCAAAGGAACAGATGCAGATGGAAGAGGAAGTGAAGGAGGAGGAGGCGGCAAAGGAACAGATGCAGATGGAAGAGGAAGTGAAGGAGGAGGAGGAGGCGAAGGAATAGATGCAGGTGGAAGAGGAAGTGAAGGAGGAGGAGGAGGCAAAGGAATAGATGCAGGTGGTAGAGGAAGTGAAGGAGGAGGCAAAGAAATTCCTCAAGGCCTATTACAATCTTCTTCAATTAGTCAAATAGAAAATTCTGTGCCTCAGGAACTGGTACAATTCTCTATGACTCAAACAGGGAAACAATACAACATCAGGAAATCAATTTTAGAATCACTATTCTTCCCTTTTATTGAGGAAGATATAAGAACAAAATCAGGTTTTTTCATTGTTCCTACATTACCATTATCATATAATCTTAAGAATAAATTAGAAATTGAAAATACCATAGTAAAACCTTTTAATACCTTTCTTATTAATTATAATAATGCTTACAAATATTGGCATAATAGTGAATCTTTTCACATAAATAAAATATTGCAAAATTGTGTATATGATAAAGGATATTATTCCAAAAACCCAATTGTTTTAATATTTCCATGGAATATTTCAGATAGTGTTGACGTTACTGATTTGAGTGAAATACGAGATGTCCAGTTAAATAATCATATAGAATCAATACGAGTAAGATCACAAAATGAATCCAAACCAATTTACATGAATAGACTCTGGATATCATGTACCCATGCAGCCAGTCAAGATTTATTTATACAGGGATTTTCAAAATATGATTTCCCAATGGAAGAAGATTCATTACCGCCATTTGTGGTAATGAAACTTGAACTTCAAGAAGGTAACAATGAAGTGGAATTTAAAATTGAGACAAGGAACATTATATTTAAAAATATTAAATTGAACATTAAGGTAGAGGGGTCTGAAGATATGGATATGGTAGAAGAGGTGGAGGAAAAAAAAGGAGAAACTGGAGAAGGAACCACCATTTTCATATAATCCCAATAGACCATTATATACTACTACAGTTCGTTCTCTTCTTTCCTTCCTTCAAAAATATCAATTATCCTCCTCTCTTTTTAATGATGGTAAATTATCATATTATTTTTTAATAAACTTGAATCAAATTCAAATTTCTATAAAGGGTATGATACAAAAAATCTAATTATATTAATATTTCTGTGGAATATTAATAATTTCATACCTGACACTTATAAAAATATAAACGAGGTAGGTGATACTAAATTAAAGAATCATATTGAAGCACTACAAATAATAGAACAAAATGAAGGAAAGCAGTCATGTACCTATGCCAAATGTCAGGATGAGATGAGATTGTTGAACCTCTTCCCCTACCCCTGGTAACCCCAAAATACTATTTGAAGTACCCCACCCCATTCCCTTTCTTCCTCCCAAAAATGTATCATGTATAACATAGGCGATTTTTTTTTTTTTTTTTTGGCTGGAACCAAGTACATTATCAAATAAAATTTTAGTATATTATAAAAAAATAGATACAATTATGTCAAATCAAAATCCAGTTTTAAGTGATACAGAAGAGATGGAGGAAGATGATTCGGATACTTCACTGGAACTGGAAGAAATGAATTACCCCTCAACTTCAACTTCTACTCCAAAGACAAAAAAATCAAAGCTAAATCGAACCAGCACGACACAGGATGATGATGATTCACTGGAAGATTTTACAACTTCAACTCCCCAAAAATCAAAGTCAAACCGAACCAACACCCGTCAACGAACACGGGGAACCTCACCAGGCCCAGACACCAGAAGGAGATCATCTTCGGATATTGGATATAACAAACGTATATTATTTCCATTTAAATATTCTATGACGATGAATGATGTGGTAAAAGAGTGTAAATATAAGGTAATAGTATCTGAAAATATAAATCACATTACATTTAACAAGAAATTCTTCACATTTGTAAATTGTAAAACTTTACCATTAAGATTGTTAATTCACCAGTATATTACATTATCAATGTATAGTATTATAAATACCAATTATGAACCCAGATCCCGTGGTTCATGTTATCAAGCTGATGGCTCCTATCTTTTTCCCACGTCGTTTTGTGGAGATTTGCTCATTATCCGAAAAATATATGACATTGTTGGCCTGGGAGGAATCGGTAGAAATCTTAAATGGAAGATAAATCCAGCTCATGTTTCAGATAATGGTATTCTTTCAAATTATTGTGCACAATATATTGAAAAAATTAATAAATCAGCTTCTAGAAACAGTGAAAATAAAAATATATTCATTTATATAAAATTACTAACTAATTTATGGACATTTTTAACTGTACAAAAAGATAATGAGTGGCAAAATGCTCTTAGAAATAATCTTATTGATGAAATTGGAAAATTAAGTAAAATAATGAAAGCAACATGTAAAAATATTTATAAAGTAGGTTTTTGTGTTGAAAAATCTCCAATATATACACCAGAAAATTTTGCCAAATATTTAGATGAAGTAAGAAATATGAAACACTTAAATTGTAATGTTAGTAAAATGTCTAAGGAAGAAGCGATAGAACTTCATTTTTCCCTATTACAAAAATTTAATGATATTATAAAAACTGATACTCATATGTATGAAATTCAATATTATCTGGCATATATACCACCAAATCATTGGAAGGAGTCTCAAAATGAAAGTAATGAAGTTAAGGGAGAACAAGTTTTTTATAACAATTTAAACCAGTTAACCTTTAATCCATATACATGCAAAATATCTATTATGTAAATCCCGTTTTCATTTAATCAATTTCATCACATCCACCTATAATTGTTGGGATATAAGTAGAGGTAGTAGATATTGGAAAATTAGTTTACATATTATTTTGATTGTGGGGTGCTTTTTTTTATTGTAATAAAAAATAATAAGCATAATGACTACATCACTGAAATATATATACCAAATTAATAATAATTCTTCAGAAAATAATTTGTTAACTTTGACATTCAACCAAAATAATACTTATATTGATGATTTATATCCAGGTTTATCGGAATCATCTTGTAGGTTAGCTCTCAATCGATTAATTTATATAATGTACTCAATAACAAAAAATATAGATGAGGTTAGTATTAGTAATCATCAAGTTCAATTTTGGAGTGAGCACAATTCTGAAATTTTCATCCAACAAATATATTATATCGCTGGTTTAACTACTAAACCAGCCTCAAATTTAATTAGTTATCATACAATTAAATATGATCCAGAAATGTTTATTAAAATATTAAAACAAAAGGCGCCTCAATCTTACAAATTACTACAACGTTTTGATTCGAAATTAATTTACTTTTCTCTTCTTACAAATTTATGGCATACTCTTCTCATGCAAAAAACACAAGACATTAATATAATAAAGAACAGTATTATACATCATCTTATAAATAATTGTTTTTATAATGAGGACCAACCAATAATTGAATCTGGAATACTTGACATATACACACCTTTTTACAGTCCTATGCATATCAGTAAATTAATTAACAGAGTCATTGAACCTTACCATAAAAATACAAATAATATACATATTATAGAAACTAAAGATCTTACTCATTTACATTATGAACTTGTGATATCTTTACATAAAAAAACAGATATTGTATCTAATAAAATAACGGCAATGGTAGCTTACTTACCTAATAAATATAAAAATAATCATAACCTAATAAGATCTTTTCCCTATAAATTAATCAAAGATAATCCTTCAGATATATTAAAGAATATTTTAACTAATTATAAATATTTCTATACAAAAAATAGAGAAATAATGTTGACGAAAAACAATAAAATTCTGAACAAAAAAAGTAGAAGTAGAAGTAGGAGTAAAAGTAGAAGTAAAAGTAGAAGTAAAAGTAGTAAAAGTAAAAGTAGTAGAAGTAAAAGTAGTAAAAATAAAAGTAGAAGTAGGAGTAGAATTAGAAGTAAAAGTAGTAAAAGTAAAAGTAGAAGTAGAAGTACAAGTAGAAGTAAAAGTAGTAAAAATATAAATAGAAATAAAAGTAGAAGCAAAAAAAGTAGTATAACAGGCAATAAAAATCGTGGAAATATAAATATGAAAAAAATACGTCAAAATAGTAGTAGTAGTAGTAGTAGTAGTAGTGGTAGTAGTAGTAGGAATAATAGTCCAACAAATTCGAGTTCAAGGTCAAATCAACCTAAAAAGAACAAAAGAGATCAAATTTTAAATAATAGAGTGAGTAAAAAAAACCAAAGCAGAAGCCCTCTAAAAACTATTTATTTTATACCCAAAAATAAAAAAAATACTAAAAAAGGATTGAAAAGTATATTAAAAAGTAGAAGATGGGATAACAACATTAATTATTTGAATACAAAAATTAAATATTTTCGTATAATTTTCCATACCACTTATAATAAATAATAATTTGGAATACAAAACATATATATAATAATAAAGATCTTTTTCAAATTTAAATAATTTTAAAATAATATGTTTCATAACTATAAGATGATGATAAGATTTTTCAGTCATAATTATAGAAGTTTCATTATCATGTTTACCCTTGCAAATAATATTCCATCTTCCTGTACTGATGTTAAGGACTATCTTACAGGTAACTATCCACAGTCTCTGTACCTAAAGCCTACTAGTTCCACTGATGTCAATGAAATAATCCTTTCCCTTAAAACCAAGTCTAGTGCCCTCGAGGAGATACCAACTTTAATTTACAAAAAAGCCTCCAGATCTCTAGCCCCTGCTATTGCATTGCTCTTCAACAAGTCACTTGAACTCCAAACCTTTCCTGACATTCTAAAAAAAAGCAAGAGTAACCCCTGTCCGAAAATGTGGTGATCTCACAGATGTTAACAACTACAGACCTATATCAATCCTGCCTAACTTGTCAAAAATATTCGAAAAACTAATCTACAAGCAGCTTTACTCTTTTCTAGCCAAACACAATATACTTAGCTCTTGTCAATATGGCTTCAGACCCAAAAAAAGCCTAACGATGCACTTATTAGTATGATTAACTTAATTCACGCAGCTCTTGATAAAAAGCCGTAAGTGTGGTGTTTTAGTGTCCCGGTTATTGATGACGTGTCTGCTTACAGAGCCGACCTGGGACCACTGTGATGGAAGTGGAGTCAGTCTACCCGAGGCAGCCAGTCTCCATACTGTGAAGTTTGCTGCAGCTGTTGTGACATCGTCCCCCCGGAAGAACACTGTGGTGTGTTAGCCTGCCATTGGAGTGGCAGTGAAAGGATTTACCCGGGACCGACTGTTGGAGACGATCATCCACTGGGGTATTGAGGACAGGAGGGTGATTTGTGATATCACACGAGACTCCTGTCTAGGGCGTACCCCTTATATCGTTCGTGGAGTGGCCGTACCAGCCTTGGTGGCTCAGTACCTGCCAGCAGACCAGCTGGACGTGTGGTTGACGGCCTCCACGACGGTGCCCCCAGTGGACCTGCGTTTTGGCTGACCTGTGGCCCGGGTAGGCTCGGCATTCTCAGAGGACACGTCGTGAGGCCACGAAGAAAGCACCAAGGACTCGGCACCAAGTGGTGTGGCACCAGCGTCTTCAGCAGAAGACCACGATGAAGGATTAATCCCCTTGTATAGTGTTAATACCCTCCCCCTGTACACGTTTGATTTTTATATATTTAATAGGTGATGGTATTAATTATAATATTAAGTTCTTAGCTTTCTTTCCCTACTCCCTTTAAGTTAATTGCGTCACGGATCTCATCCCTTGATAGCCAATACTGGCTTGGGAACGGATACTTATATCTTCCTCTAACAACATCAGAGTAAGGACCCCGTTGCGTCCCGAGAGGGCCGTAACACTTACATATTCTCCATTCTTTAATCTCTGGAAATTTATTTTACGATCAATTATGCGTAACATTCCTGATTCACAATTAATCTCCCCAATATCACCAGTTTTAAAACTCCAAATACCTCTTTTGGATAAGAAAAAGTCTCCACCATCATCTCCTTTTCCAGTAATCCTTGAATATTCTCGGGCCACTATAGGACCACTCACTACAACTTCCCCTCTAGGATGCGGCTTATCTGTCGTTTTAAAATCTCCTCCAATCCAATCAATTAATGATAGTTTTACTCTATAATTAGGATCACCACAATGTAATACATCATCACTTTTGTTACTGCTAGTAATACAAGCCGTAGTTTCTGTGGTACCATACCCTATTATTACTGAACAATTGAATAGCGTTCGAAGCTTTTGGTATGACTCTTTTGAAATTAAATCACCTCCAATGATAACTGTCATCAATCGATTACCAAAAAACTGCTCACATATTTTCCGTGAAATATATTTATCCCAAACATTAGCAATCCATTTCAGTTTAAATTTTTTTTCAAAGGCTATATGATCCCAAATTGAATAATTATTTTTTGTAATTCCATTCATTATATATTTTAACATAGAGGATACAAAAAAAACACAAGTAGGTTGAGCTTCAATAAAATCCCCATGACATCCTTCCAAGATCTGCGGACTTTTGTTATTTAAAGTAGAGGGTGAGGAATAGGCAATTGTAATATGCATAGCAATACAAGATAATTCAATTATTAATTCTGTGACATAAGCCAATGGAAGATATGCTAAGTATAAGTTCCCCAATTGTCGATAATCAGCACGAATACAAAATGCTGATACCTCAGAGAAAATATTACCATGAGTTAACTTCACTCCTTTAGGTTCGTCAATAGTACCACAGGTATACATGATAAATTCCACAACACTCTCATCAATATATTTAATGTTATCCTTACATATATCCTCATTTTCTTTGCCGGCAAATATTAAACTATAATATGAAATTGTGTTAAAATTGTCACTCGTTTTATATGGTGAAACTGTTGGTCCTATTTTATTGATATGATCATCTAAGATAATGACATAATCTATTTGAGGACAAGTAGGTAAAATTTCCTTTTGGAGTTTAGCTAATAATGGTCCAAAAGAGGTAATAATAATTCGAATTTCTGTTTCCAAAAGAGAATTAATAATTGTTTTGGGGGGCAAGTTTGTTGGAAGACTGACGACAATTGCCAGTTGTCTAAAGCATCCAAGAGCTGCAATAAGCCATTCTTTCTGGGTTTCAGCATATATGGCAATCGATTGTTGTTGATTCACCTTATTATCATTATTATTATTATTTTTATTATTAAAGTTAAAATAATAGTTTAAACCAATGCCGAATTTAATTACCAATTCATTGACCTCTTGATAAGACTGGTATATATATTTTCCTAGATTAAATTTGTCTACACATTTGTTTCCACCAAATCCTTGTCTTTTTTCTAAAAGCTGTCGAGTACCTAGACAATCATATAAACCATAATTGGCAGCAGCAAATTGTAGAATAGAAGGGGCTGTAATTGCTTGAGACTTTATTAAATTATTAACTAGAAAAAATCCATCATATCTTCCTCCCTTTTTGAAGCTCATATTTAGAAAAAAAATAGTCTTGGTTTCTTATTATATTTATATACATATGAATGAGGTGATTTGGTAAAATGCTATGCCCAAGATTACTCTCCGAGTGCCGGCGGTGGGGTGGTTCAAATAGCTTCGGCAATCACCTCATTATGTCCGGTCGTGATGGTCAAGTGGATTAAGGCGTCTTGTACATACCAGTTGCGTGGCTCCTGGGAGTATGGGTTCGATTCACTTCTGGGGTGTGAGTTTTCAGTTTATATATATATATATATATATATATATATATATATATATATATATATATATATATATATATATATATATATATATATATATATATATAAAATACAGATTCAGCACTGAGATTTTTGGAAATGACAATTTATATCATTACATTATTATTAGCTGTTTTACACTAATCAAGTGTTGACCACTCACTGAAGGTCCCAACACAATCCTGACTTCTCATCCTTTCCCTCCTTATCCTCGTCCTCTTTTCCTTCTTATTACTAATCACTTTCCACATTGATATTAAATTTAATTCTATCAAATGGAACTAGGTCATTAATATTTTTAGCTAACAGCTTACATTCCACCTCATTATTACCGTCCTGAAGCTCAAAATCTGATCATTGTAGTAATAACCAGTGGCTGCATCCTCAATTTCCTCTTTAGAGAGAGCTAAGTCATATGACATATGACATTCTACAAGACTAGGGTCAGCCTTTTGCAGTTCACTCAAGGTGGTACCCATGCCTTGGGCAGATGTGGCAGGAGGTAATGGTAGACTCTCCACTGTGTCCTCGGCCTCGTCATCGAGTCGGGCCATGAACGTATCCACAAGGTCCACTTGGTCACCAAGCAGCTTTAAGATTTTAAATTATTTGGGATGTGGTGGTAGTTTATAAATTGACTTCATACACAGTTTAAATGTAGATATGATAAATAAAACCCAGTAGGCTCAGAAATCTATATTGGTTGATTAAATGGGTAAAGGGAAAGGAGTCAACTCCCAAAATAATGAAAAACATTTGCTTTCTCACTAGCAACAACGAACAATGAGACATAATGTCATATAAATTAAGAGCTCACCCACCCCCACCACTTCTCTCCACCGGGAGAGTAGCACCCAGAGCCCTCCGTCAGACCTTCAGTTTGTGGCTCCAGTGTGCCTCATCCACATCGTGCTCAACCTGCTCCCAGCCACACACACCCACCGCTCCACAACACATTCAGTATCCATCTATCTTTTGACCACTCAATAAGCAACATACTGGTCGTCCTACTTCTGGAGGATTCACAGTAAGATTAAAGTTGTATTATTATTATCCTATTGTCATATATATATATATAATCCATTTGATTATTAAAGGTTTAAAACACTTTAGTGCACAAAAAAAAGTGAATGTCACCAAAGCATTTGCTATCCCACCAGGAAGTAAATAAACACGAAGATGACTCGCCGTGACACCCAAACAGAAAGTAAATGTTCATACTCTTTCGTTTTTTGCCAGCCTCACAGTCATCCTACAGCGCTTATTTTGATATCACTGAACTCTCAATAAAATTCCCCACCCAGACATATGGCTATCAATGTCTAATTATGTTTCGCACGAGTGTGGGAACTGGGCGAAGTGTTAGCCGTGATTTCAGCAGCGACGACACTGTTGTGATTGTACCCATGAGCGCAAAATTTTTTTACTTTGCTCATGTTTTTCAAGTTTATACTTGTTTCACACTGGTTTTTTGGTTTGTATAGTGTTCGGAATAAAATTCTCTACACAGACATATGGATATAAATGTAGAATTATGATCGCGGCCAACACAAGAGTGTGTGGAGTGCGCGATTACCCTCGTTGTGTCACCAATTCAATAGTCTCTCCCCTAAGTTACAATACTTTGCCGTTTTCTCAAATAGACACTGTGCCTATTAGAGAAAACAAGAAATTTAATGGCAAACATATTCATACAAACCACAAGTCGATCGAGTAGTATATACCCACTATAACACAGACGTCGTGATCCGACAAGCACTTAAATAAACCTTCCCGTAATGTACTTTTTTTTTTTTTGCCTCATTTTTCTCTGAAATGATATACATTCATTATGAAATAGTCAATTTTTCTAATAAATTATGGTAATTTTCCTTTTTTTTTTTTTTACAGTTAAAGATGGTGTGTTGTTCATTATGCTGAGATTAAATAACTCTTGACTGTCCCATTTGGCATTTATAATGGATTTGCAGAAGAAAAACAAAAAAACAAAAAAAAAAGTTGTTGAAAAGAAAAATCATGATTTACAGAAAAATGATATTGATCTAGAAATTTGGTTTATAGAAAACGATAAAGAATTAGATTATAAAGAATTAGATGTTTTGTACCAAATAACACTGTTCAAATACATTTTATATCCATATTATTTTTCCAAATCTCTCTCCAGATAACAATAAATGGGTTAAGGATTATTTAATGACTGACAATAAATCAATATCATTCATTAGAATAACAGATATACTTCGTAAGCATGCAAATTCATTAAATAGTGACAAACTAAAAATGTTGACTGTACTATTTGAAAGTGTTATCATCAAGTCAAGTAATGATGAAATTGATTAAACAAATGTAAAATGTTTCACTATATAAAAAAAACTAATTGGGTTATATTTATATGGCAGAAGAATATTGTAGTATTATAATACAAAAAAAAAAAAAATATATATGACAGTATATTTATCCTTCTTCTACCTTTCTCTTCTTGTAAACTTAAATATGAAACCCAAACTAGTTGAATTATCCATGCTAGATTATGTGTGGATATATTCATGGAATGTTGAAGAACAAGAATTTTATGGGATTCCAGTGCCTCAAAGTCAAATTCAAGATAGTGGTTTAAATCGTGAAAATATAGTACCACAAGACCCTATACGAGTAATTTTTGATACATCAAATTTTGATCACTTAGTTTTAGTTACACAACAACGTGAACTATTTGATCGTTCTATGATATTTTTGTATAATTGTGGGCTGATAGATTATTATACTCTTGAAGCTGAACATAGTCAGAATGGTCATTTGATTATGGGCGAAGCCTCATTGGAAGATTTGCAATTGGAAAAATATCGAGGTTATGCCACTCGCGTTTTTTGTAAAGGTTATCGTAGGTGTATGGATCTCTTTAACTTTCTAAAATATAACTATCATCCATTTGGTATTAATGCTAGGGTAAATATTTTAATTCATACCAATGTTATTTTGACTGTGAACGACGACACAATCCAAAATTTCAATCTAGGGGTTTATTTAAAGTACATGACAATCAACTTGTTTTTGTGAGTGGGGATATGGACAACTTTTTTCCACCATATCGGATCCTCTCATTTGATATAGAAACTAGTCAGCATGATTTAACTGGTGCCATTCCTCTAGGGGATAGTTCATATGATAGGTTAGTTGCTACTTCTTTTCAGACAGCAACTGTAATGAATGCCCAATATCCAACTGAATTAAGTGACATAAATACCCTTTTGGTTGTATATTATCCAAATTCTCAAAACAAAAATAGAGAATTTTCCATGATAACTAAACAAGGAATTTCGATCCATGTTGAATTATATTCTTCAGAAAAACAGACTCTTTCTCGATCTTTGGAGTTACTAAGCAAACCTCAACATATTTTCGCTACTGGTTATAACAATGATGGATACGACCATCCATTCCTCTTCAAACGAGCACTATTTCATGGTCTTTTACCTGGACATTTATTTTTCCACACTTACACTTTAAGGTCATACTGTGATATGAGAACCGTACCCCATATGACTCCACCTTGGATTTTAGATGTAGATGCTATGATTTGCCGTAAAAAAAAATTTCCAGTTGGTAAGTTTCTTGAACCACCTTCTGATAGTTTAGATGCTTGTGCAGAAGCTATAATGGGCCGCAATAAAGTAGATTTTAATATTGTAGCTATAAATAAAATGTATAAAAATTTAGAAGACAATGGAGAGGAACCGGATAGTTTTTTTTTTTTTTAATTTTCTAGATTATTGTACTGTAGATGTGGATCTGGTCACTCAATTGAATGGGCACCTTAATACTATTAGAATTACAATGGGTTTATCTCGTATGGGCGACCTTGACCCATACCATTGTCTTGGTGCCAGTTCTACAGCGTGAGACGTGAGACGTTACCTTATAAATTTACTTAATTCAATTTATACGGCTCCTATTGACGAACATCTCATTAATAAGGTAAACTGTTATTCACAATCTCAATGGGAAATAGGTCGTATTCTTCCACAAAATCGATACGCTAGACATTCCATCGAACAAAAGGATCATTTGGATACAGGTAGAAAAAACACTTACAAAGGCGCTGAAGTTCTTGAACCGAAAATTGGAGTACATTTAGCTTCTAATACTCATTCAATATTTGTTTTTGATTTTTGTTCATTATATCCTAGTTTAATTATTGACTATAATTTAAATCAAGGGTTTGTGACTCGAATTTCACGTTGTCAACTCCCAGAAGTTGATGAAAATTTATTTCATATACTTATTATGGATGAAGATCCTTATTTTGCTTATGTTAGTGTTAAAGTCCAAGAAGGAAAACCATACACTCAATCACCATTACGTCAGATATGTGAAAAATTAGTAAATGAACGAGGTATTATGAAAAAATTAGGAATGACCACTCAAGCTAACGCTCTTAAGATTATGGTAAATTCTATTTATGGGGCAATGGCGGCCATTAAACTACTCGCAGATGATCTGGTCCCATTGCATGGTTACTGGTTATGGTCGGTATCATCTTAATCTGGCTCAACATTTTTATACTAAAGATGAAAATGGAATTGGAGTGACAGTTTTATATGGCGACACTGATTCATTATTTCTGAAGGTATCTCGTTCAGCAGGAACTGGAGATGAATTGGCTAATCATTATAATACTAATCTCAGACAAGATATACCTTCTACATGTTATCTCAAACTAGCTTTCGAAAATGCATTTGGTGTTCTAGTGCTAATAAAAAAAAAAACATTATATGGCTATACAAGAAAGACAAGTTGGCAATAAATGTAAAATCAGTGGTTATAAAAAACGTATCAACCTTAGTAATCATCGTGACTTAACAAATTTATTGCAACATGTTCTTATGATTTTACGGGACAATGACCCAGCTCACATTTTTAAGAATATTAGAAATGAAGTAACACAATGGTTTAATCAAATAATAAATCAAAATGATGATGAGATCAACCACCAGCGCTTTTTGAGTACCATTAAAATTCGACCTCTTCATATGTATAAATCAACTAGTTGCATTCATTATTGCTTGGGAACTAAAATTGAGCAACTTCATCCAGGTACAATAACAGCAGAAGGTGGTACTCATATTTCATACTATACAATGGTACCATTAGTACCAAGGGCTTTAACTTTACCCAAGAGTGTGTGTCTATGTCCAGCTATTACATATAGACCCCAAATACAAATAATTAATCGTTTAATGGGATTAATTTCTGATATAGGCCAAACTGTTAATGCCCTTATTCAGACTACTGATTCAGAAAATGCGTCTCAATATAGTATAGAAAAGTTAAGCTTGGATTATCAAAAAAATGAAAGATATCAGCTCTATGAAAAACATGTTGCACATGGTTATAGAGTTTGTAATCTGAGTGCCTGTGAGCTTTTGTTAAATATTCCTTGCATTGAAATAACTTCAATATGGCCCTCATTTCATTACGAGTGTTTAGAAAATTCAAAATTTTATATGTCGTCTTTGACTAGAAAACATAAATGGTGGTATACTACTACTACTAC